TCAATGTCCCAAGCACCAGACACAGAAAGAGAGTTCCAGTATTAGCCCACACAATTACTATAAGAAAAACTTCTGTCTCATTTTGAGGTCAAAAAAGTAAATACAAATATAAATTCTATTATTCCCCTTTGGCATTTAAATAGATAGTCCTGAATTTAGGACAACATTGTTCTAAACAGAGCGTTAGTAAGGTAACGATATCTTAACAATATGATGCCTGTATTCTCCAAACAGGAGGTTAAACTCCATTCAATTTATTGGGTTTTTTTCCCTTCTTTCAAAAACCGAATGTACATATCATGCCAAAACCACAATACCTTCTTCATGACAAATAGTGAGCTATATTCTACCATTACTTTAACTCCCAACCTTTTGGCACCAGGGACCAGTTTCATGGAAGACAATTTTTCCACTGACCAGCGGGGGGGATGGTTTCAGGGTGATGCAAGCACATTACATTTATTGTCCAGTCAAACCTCTCTGCCAATGATAATCTGTATTTGCAGCTACTCCCCAGCGCTTGCTTCACCACCTCAGATCATCAGGCATTAGATTCTCAGAAGGAGTGCGAAACCTAGATCCCTCGCATGCGCAGTTTGCAGTAGGGCTCGCGCTCCTATGAGCATCTAATGCCCTCGCTGATCTGACAGGAGGCCGAGCGTATGCAGTGATGTGAGCCCTGGGGAGCACCTGTACATACAGATGAAGCTTTGCTCCCTTGCCCACTGCTCACCTGCCAATCACCTCTTGCTGTGCGGCCCAGTTCCTAACAGGCCACAGACTGATACTGGTCCACAGCCCGGGGTTGGGGACTGCAGGCTTAGGGCATGAATGGACTCTTTTAAATCCTGGTTAAATTTTAATTAATATGTAAGTTATCCTAAAGTGGTTTTGGTGAGTAAATACTCCCTAATCCACTGAAATTATGAAATACTGAGGAATAAATTAATCTGTACCAAGAACACAGTGTAGTTCTGTCCTGAAGTGAAATTATCCATGAAAAACGAAAAAGATTCCTTACAACATTCCCAAGTCTCTTTTAGGCCACAGTGAGCTACATTAAACAAAACACGGGAAGATAAAGAAATCTTTTTTGAGTGGGTGTTAGCAGATGTTAGCCAGGCAAATACTTTTAAAAAATAAAACTGAGGGGTGATCTACTAATACTTTTGCCAGACTACTAATAGAGACACAAAAGGGTTCCTGGCCAATAGTAAAGGCAGGAGGACTTTAGATAGGTTTGTCAAAATGGTGCAGTGAGAAGGGCCAAAAGTCAAATATGTGTTTTGTCAAAACAGTCTTCATGCTACCCTTTCCAGATGTTGTTGACTAGGAGCCAGGTACTAGACAAAGATTTTCAGGTGTATTCTTTTATTTAATCCTCACACAACTTCCATGAATGTGGTGTGTTATCACTGTCCTTCCCATTTTGCAGATGAGGAATCTAAGTTTTTACAAAGTTAACATCTAAGCACAATGTCCTGCAGTAGTAATTGGCAGTGGGTAGGAATCCAAATTCCAAGCTCATACTTTTAACCACAACATTCTACTTCTTCTGGGCACTTCACCTTGGTTTATTTTTCCTAGGAAATAATTATGTGCAGATAAAATAAATGCTTGAGCTATTAGACTCCAAATAATCATTTGCTCATGGAAACATCTGCCTCACTGGCAAATATTTGAGGTTTAGATACAATTTTATACTTTGGTCTAGAAAATAAAAACTTCCAGAATTATGAAACTTTGGTGATCAAAAAAGACCACCTACTGAGGGCTCCTGCCTTTTATATTAGATAGAACTCCACACTGGAAAGCCCCACGAGAACGCTCCTCTTCTCATGACTTGGTCTTCTAGTCCAGGAGACAATGCACCCTTCCTGCAGCTTTTGGAAACACCTTTTTGCGTGATTAAAACAATGGTAGTATCTAAGGTCTTTTTATAAGAAAGGAAAGTATTAAACAATTGTAATGCTGAGTATTTTAGGACTGAACATTTTTGGATATATTTGCTGAATCTGTTATCTATCAATAAAGATTGGATTAAAACAAATCCTAACTTCAAAATAACTAAAGGATTGGTTCAATAAATTAATAACTGAGCTAAATTAAATGATGGTTGCTTCCTTATAGATTTTTTCAATGCCCTTCTAATATATAGCACCAGAATTGGATGCAGTACTTTGGAAGCTTTCAAAGAGCAAGAGTATTAACAGGACTAGTTCCTCTCTTGTTCCTCATACTATACTTCTACTACTAGCTTCTAAGATTGATTAGATTTTTACAAAACTGAATTCTCATATCTACAGTAACTAGAGCAATCCATATCCAAATCCAAATCCAAATCCTCTAGTATTTCAATGTGTGGTGTCTTCATGCTGCTCTTTTCATATCCTATTGTTATGTAGTTTTTCACATCATATTAACTTGTCATTTTAACTGCTGAGACCTTTTTGATGTCTATCATCAATCAATGTCTTAGAAATTCCTACACTTTTTAAAAACATCTCCAATTATCACTACAGTTGTTAATACAAGTATTAGAGGACAGAATCAAGTTTGGAGCCTCATACATCCAATATGATGTTGCCGTCATGAGTGTCAAGATGATATGCCAGCTTTTTGTCCAGATTCAAGTCACGTGCACCTAGCCAAAGACGTCCTCTGGGCTGATCATAATTAGTATTAGATTAGTTTACTTCATCATCTGTTCTTTCAGGGAGATGAACTGTTATCTCGCAAGTCAAGATCATATTAAATGAAATGTTTTAAGATACTTTATCTTCCATTCTATGATTTGTACAAAAAAGATTGTTTTATATTCCTTCTCTGATTTGGCAATTTTTAACAACCATTACGATGACTAACCTTCTGTTTCTCTCTTTTCACATTAACCCAGATGTTTTCCAGCCTGATCCCCTTCTCTTTGATGATTTTCCGTGCAGAGGTGCACCTTAATTGCATCTCCTGCCAACAACATTTTGTTACAATATTCAGATAGTAGGTTTACAGATTTGTGTTTTCTTAGGTACCAATTCTGCTTTTTCTCTTCCTTTGTTGCTCTTTGCTTAATGGGATACTTGATTTCTTTCACGGACTCTAGTTTTCAGTCATTCTTGACTACATTGGCAAGCCTCTAGGCCAATCTTTAGTGTCTGGGCCAATGTTTCCCCAAATACTGGCTCACAGACCACCTGCATCAGAAATGTTATTTCAGGATATTTGGGACTGTATTTTTAATACAGGAAGCTGTCTTTTTAATATGCAACATGTATGACTTTTATGAACAGTGATGTTTAAGAGCCCCTTTTCTAGGCAGATTTGTCCCACTCCTGGAGACATACACTTTGTTTTTCATTATAGAGCCTTCATGTAAGTATTTGAAGCCAGGTTAGAGAACAAAACATCCTTCTTTTTTGCTAACATCTCATGAAGTAGAAGTGAGAAAAGTTAACGGCTACCATTTATTGAGTGCCTGTGAAGTGGGAGATATTTTACACCTTTATCTCTAACCCTCAAAACCACTGTGGAAGTTAGATCCTCAGAGAAATTAAGTGTTTTACTCAAATTAACATACATCATGTATAGCATAGAAATTAAGCCAAAATGGGCCTGACTCCAGTGCCTGAGATGATTGCACCGTACCATGGTATCCCACTCAACTATCTTCTCTTGGTCAAAGTAGAGGCCAGGTAAGAACTGAAATTGATGGGAGAGGGAAAATAAACAGCTTGTATAAAGAGGAGAGAAGGAGTCTCAGGGCGGGGAACTAGGAAAGAGGAGAGAAAGTTTGCTCCCAGTATACTCTTAGATGGTACAGAAGTCTGAGTAGATGCCAGAGTTGGCTATCAAAGAGTATTAGGAAGAGATAAATGGCTTTAGGAGGAGCAAGACAAATGCAAGGCAACTTACAGGAGAGCAGGGTCAGCTTGTCCCCGACCTCTCAAGCACAGTGAGACAATTCCAAAATGGTTACATTCAGATATGGGTCTTATAATTAATTATTCAGTGAAAGAATAAAGGCCCACATTGTGTGTGTAGCCATCCATAAATTAGGCGTTCATATTTGGGAGACTAGGAAAAGAATAAATTGTTTGATTGGAAACATTTAGGAAACTGATGATTTGAATCTTTTAACTGATTGATTCAAATAAAAGAAAATACGGAAAAAAGCAAATTAGAACGATTCAATATCCAGTTGAAACTTTTTCAGTATTTACTCTTTCATTTCTTTAAATATCTTTTGACTACCCGCCATCTACATGGAATGAAGCTAGGTGCTAAGGCATTATTCTAGGCTAAATCTCTCAGTAAATGTAGAGTGAACATAGGAATGAATGATTAAATGAATAAAAGGTCGAACAAGCAATCATATGAATGAGAGAAAATGAATAATGTGCAGATGGAAATCTTGAACAGCTTTCTGTAACTATCCTCACTGAATTAGGGAAGTCCAGGCCTCCAATTCTTGGCCTTTTCTGTTGAGCCTCTAGAGATCTGAAGGCTTATATTTAAGGTCGTGTAGTCTTTCAAGTTTACTGTGAAGCTGTAATATTAATGAGGTGCTCCATGGCCACCCAAAGTTTTTATTAAAGCACACAGGAGAAGATCTTGAGCCAAGGATAGCTTCTACTCACAAAATCCCTCTCACAGGCAGGTGTGAAAATCACAGACAAGACTAAGGGACAATGGTGCAACTTCTGTCTTTTCAACAAAAGCCATCTGTAGAGAGTTCTAAGTTAACAGAATACAGATACTTTAAGACATGGGATCGTGTATTTATTTATGGGCTTTGGCACATCTTATTTGACAACCTGAAAACTGAAGTTCCTAATATGAGCAGCTATAATTATAATAATGTAAAAAAAAAAAAAACTAGTTTTTTTATACAGACTAAAATAAATGCTTATTTATTTTATACCGTATTTTAATAAAAATGAGTCCACTAAGCTAAAAAAAAGCCATAGAAATATTCTTTTGCTAAGATGTGGAAATTACATTACCGTGCACGTGCAGTTGAATGTGCTGCTGTGTTTCTCCAGCTGCATTGGTAGCCACACATGTATATCTGCCAGCATCTTCTAACAGGGCTTTGGCAATTTGTAGAACTCGACCAGAAGACTGTATCTAATTGGGAGCAGAAAGCATGCAAGAATTCTGTACTTTACACTTGGGCTTGAAAACATTCCCTGAGATAGAAAAATTCATTTAAATTTATAATATCTAATTATATTTTCATGCCAATATCCTAATTATCTCTTGACAGATTAGAGCCACATCACTTCTTCCTGCATAAGAAAATAGACTAATTTGATTGAAACCTTTTCTTATTCATTGGAAAACACAAAATAAAATAACCTAAGGTCAGACTGCTGGTATAGTCATAAAACTCTACTGAATAAAAGATTTTAGCACTGAACTATGAAGTGTGTGATGAAAATTTAAGCTATTTGAAAAAACATGGCACATTTATATCACACTTCATAAACAGTTTTTAAACAATAATCCTTTTTGATTAAATGGTCATGGGGGCCAGAAAAACAATAAAATTTTCAAATATGAATAATGAAAATGCAGATGAATTTCTTTCTGACTGTTTTTGCTTATTTCCCTTTTAAACCTGTTGCAACTGGCCTCCATCACTTTGAAACTGGTGATTCAGAGGTTATTCTTTGAAACCGATTATTCAGAAGTTACAAGTAACTTCCGGTCACAATATCCAGCAGCCTATGTAGTAAGCTCATACTCTCTTCCACCATCTACAGCATTTGGCATAGTTCACTACCCACTCCTTGAAACCCTTTACTTTCTGGGTGTAGATAAGCATTCCCTCAGTTCTTATTCCCTGTCTTAGGAGATTTCTTTACAGAATCTGCTTCCTCTTCTTGTCCCACAAGCAGGGAACGCGGTTCTCCTGATAGTTTTCATTCAAACCCATGGCATCAATTAAAAAACTCCTATGCAACACAAAGAGTGCAATGCGTACCACCTGAAGGATGGACATATTTGAAACTTGGACTTAGGGGGGGAAGGAGGGGAGCAAGGGCAACATACATAAACCTAAACATCTGTACCCCCATAATATGCTGAAATAAAAAAAAAAAACAAAACTCTTATGCAGACCCTTAAATTTACAGCTTTCTCCTCAACTTCTCCCCTGAGCTTTACACTTGTAGTTTCAGCTACATGCTGAAACTACAGGTTAGTACATCAAATTCACCGTATCTAAAACTAAGCTCACAAATCTATCTCCAAAACCTACTTCTCACTGAATGTTCCCAATCTTGTTTAATGGCACTCACTGTTTTCCAGTCATCTGGGTTTTGGAGTCCACTTCGACTCCTATTAATCATATCCTTGTATGTTTCTCAGATCCCCTGTTTTCCATTTCTACAGCCACTGTGGGATTATGATAGCTTCTTCACTGATGTTCCAGTGTCTCCAACCTCACCAACTGTTAATCTATGTTCCATACCATCGCCAGAATAAGTTGTTTAAAATGAAAATTTGATCCTTTTACCAGTTACCCCTTCAGTGCTCATTCATGGCTCCCACCCTGCCCAGAATGAAATCCGAGCTCAGCATAGCTCTCCAGGCTCACCACATTCTGACCCCAAATGACCTTCTCTCCAAACTCATCCATTTAAACTACCTCTTAACCGATTCTCTGTCCCTACTGTAATAAATACATTCATACATTTACATGTATGTCTCTGGACAATTACACACGGCCTCTACATGTCATAATTTCTTAAGGCTCTGAAGTGGATCACTCCTTTCTCCTTTTTCTTCTTTCTCTTTATCCCTCCTTGGATTAACTCATCCATGCTCACAGTCTCAAATATTATCGATGTGCCGATATCTCCAGCCAGAGCTCTCTTCTGATCTACAGGACCATATATTCAATGATCTACTAATATCTCCACTAGTTTATCTCAAAGTCACCTCAACACCCAAAAGTTTAAAACTCAAATTACACTTTTTTCTGCTCAAATTTGTCCTCCTCAAGAGTCGCCTGTCTCACTGGATAGCAACACTATCCATGCAGTTATGTAGGCGGGATTGATATGGGTCTTCCTTCATGCATCACTCTCCTTCACCTTTCATAAATAATCTTTCACCAACCTCCAGTGGTTTAACTAATAAATAGCTCTCCAATCTATCCAAGTATTCTCATCTCCATGGCCAGCATCCGAGTCCAAATTCCTATCTTTTCCTTCTTGTAGACAAATGCAAATAGGTACTAACTGGTTTCTGCACATCTACTCTTGGCTCTTCCAATTTACCTCTTTGGAAGGAGTCTGGGTAAGTACTTAAAATGCAAACTTGACCATGTTACTCTCTCTTAAAATTCTTCAAAGGTCTCCCATTACCTTAAAGTAAAAATGAAATCATTAACCTTACTTAAGTGCCTCCTTTCCTGGTCTCTAATCTCTAACGACCTCTCCATGGCTATCTTCCTCAGCCCACTGGCTTGCTTTCAGGTCCTTAAGAGGTGCCATGCAGTTTTACTTTATGTTGTTTGCCCAGGCACATCTTCTCCAAAATACTCTTCTTAGTTCTCTTCCATTAATTCACCCATTTAATTTCTATATGATCTTCAGACCTGTGCTCAAAGGCTTTCCCCATAAATTTTCCTCATGCTCGAAGGCTTCCTTCATTATATGTTCTTATACTTCTCTATATTTTCTCCTAAAATCACTCATTATAGTTTGCAATTCTACTTTTGTATGATTATGCGATAAATGTCTGTGTTCCATGTAAACAATTGTTTACCTGCACTATGTTTGAAGGCTACATACTAAATCTTTCATTAGCACAACGGTGTGAGATGAGTTCCAGTGGATTTGGAATAGGAATAATAAATTAACACATATCCTTTACTTCTACTAGGAAAGGAACATGATACATCTCTCATTTTGGAAAACTTACTACAGGTAAAATTCGAGCCCAAATTAGTCAATTAACTTGATACCAGGAGCAAAATCTGTTAATTCTGCTTTTTAAATGTATAATTTAGATTATCTAGATTGGAAATCTATATTCTTCCTATCTATGTACGTATCTATTGACTAATTCGACAAATATGTATTGAGATACAATTTTATGCCAGGGACTATACTCAGTATGAAGGACACAGAAATGAATTTATTCTCAGAGACCGAATCTTTGCCCTCTTAAAGCTTATAAATTAGTTTTAAAAAAATGTTTTTCAAGACTTATTTCACTTAGGTTTATGTAAATATGATTTTACCTTAATTTTAGCCTACAGCAAACATACTGGAGATATGTTGGCTTATTACTGATGAACATTCATTCATGAGACACCAGTTTTTCATTCATTAAATCAGGTATAAATCAAAATAATAAAAATACCAACCACTATCAACAACATCAATATCATCGTTAAGGTATTTAGTCTTTATTCAATTCTATTCTTCAAATAAAAATATTATGTTAAATTCTTAAAAATGCTAAGGAAAAAACATATTGTTTTAATAAATTTTCTGCAAAATCCGTCCAAAAAGAAAAATTACAATTAAGAAAGAACAGGGTAGGGAGAAGAGAGAGATTTTTGAAAGAACACAAAATTACAGCTAGACAGGAGGAATGAATCCTAGTGTTCTATACCATGGTAGAATGACTACACTTTACAATAATATAGTATAGAGTTCCAGATAGCTAGAAGGAGGATATTGAATGTTCCCAATACAAAGACATATGGGAGATGATGTATATGCTAATTACCCTGATCTGATCACACTATACATTATATATATTGAAACATCACTATATACCCCATGAATACATACAATTATTACTTGTCAATTAAAAATAAAATAAAAGCCCACCCCCCAAAAAGGAAAGAATAATGTGATAGCTCCAGGAAAATCTATGTAGCTTTCTTGATTCAGGGTCAGGAATATTTATACTTACTTTGAGGTTTCCTTGGGCAGTGTTCACAGGTTGGTCATCTTTTAACCATGTAATGGATGGATCTGGAATGCCACTGGCTATGCACTGCAAAGTGACAGGCTTATATTTCACCACAGCTCTCTCAGGAAGGCCTGAGGACTTGATTGTTGGAGGAACTAGATTTCAGGACAGGAGGGAGGGAATGAAAACCATGATTGGGATCAAACACTTAAAAATATATATGCAAGGACCTGAAACCTTAAAATTCGGAAAAGAAAATTCTTATTTTAACAAGCACTGAAATAATTTAATCCCATGCATTTAATTTAAATGTTTAGCAATTTTAGAGATTACTTATTTCTTAACGATGGATCTCTAATTCACCAAAGAATAAGTAAAATGTATTAACATTTGTGGTGTTTTGGTGTGTTTCCCCCATCTATAGTGACCCACCCTTTTTCTACCTCAGTGAGTCCGGGCGAGTTTCCAGCTGTGTTTGTACTACATGACTCTGCCCCAGCAAGGCTGACTGAATGTGGGATGGGAACTTGATTTAAGCTGGGTCTGCCACATTCCCTCCCTTAGGAACTGGAACCGAGACTGAGAAACAGGATTATCTTTGTTCCATCATGGGACAGGGGACTAAAAAGCAAAAAAAATAATAGCCTGCAACAACAAAGGAAGAAGGAAGTTGACATTCTTAGAAACTTCTTCTTCTGGCTTCCAGATGGCTCTCTAGAGTCTGCTTCCAGGCCCTCCCTTCCCAAGTGCTGCTGGCAAGAGAGACACGTAAAACCCTGGCAGAGGGTTGCTTCTGTCATGAGATTAACGGTTATAACCCTAATGTGCCAGTTCTGTGAATGCACTTATGTGCTCTGGATCCTGCAGTTACATCCTCAGCTTCCATTTATGACAACTACTCTAGTCACAGACGCTCCTGTTTGGGCTAAACTCTTAAATGCTAACACAACCCCTTTACTTGGAAGTTGCTCCCTGCCTCTTCTTTCTTATTAATATTTGGTCTCATTCCTCAGACTTTGGCATTTTATGTAAAATCCACTTCCTAACATTTAAATTCTGCCCAAATTTATTCATCTGATACCTCTTGGTTGAGTCTCTGTGTCAGTAAAGTTAGCAAAATTTGCCAGTATTTGACTCAAATTCCTGTCTTTCATACTACTTTCCAGAACTGAAGATTTATCCACATTTTTGAGATATAATATGAATTAGATAATAAAACAATGTATAAATTAATTTAAAATGTGAGACTCCTGTTTCTTCTTCAGCATACCATGAACAGTCACTTCAAATTCCTTCTTGTGGTCCCCAGCAGTGTTTGTTGCCACACACCGATAAAGGCCTGTGTCTGACACTTGAGCCTGAGCAATAATTAGTTTGTGCCCATTTAGTAAAATCTTGAATCCATCCCTTTCATCAATTAGCTGGCCATCCTTCAGCCACCTACAGAAAAAGGCAAAAAGAAGCCTGAATATATATTTTAAATAAGTAGTTTCCAGAAGATACATAGATATACTAATATATCCCCTGTTGTGTATTGCCTAATTTCCTACTTGCTTACCCTGTGAAATAAATTGTAAATGGAAAAGAGAAGAAAAAAACCGAAATCTGGCTTAACTCAGAGGTGGGCATATTGTTGGGACCCAATAACTATGTGTTGAGTTCTTAATTCTTCTACTAGTTTAGGCTACAAAAAGAGGCAAGTGTCCCTAAATATTACTTACTTAATTGTCTGAATAGTATTAACCAGCAAAACATATGTAAGCTTAAAACATCTGTAAATAAAACCCTGAAATCATATATAGTATTATATCTTTACCTTTCTTGTGAATTATCACTATTCATTTAGTTTTTTTTTTTTTTTTTTTTTTTTAGACAGAGACTCACTCTTTTGCCCAGGCTAGAATGCCGTGGTGTCAGCCTAGCTCAGAGCAACCTCAAATTCCTGGGCTCAAGCGATCCTCCTGCCTCAGCCTCCCAAGTAGCTGGGACTACAGGCATGCGCCACCATGCCCGGCTAATTTTTTCTATATATTTTTAGTTGTCCGATTAATTTCTTTTCTATTTTTAGTAGAGACAGGGTCTCGCTCTTGCTCAGGCTGGTTTAAAACTCCTGAGCTCAAACAATCCGCCTGCCTCGGCCTCCCAGAGCTCTAGGATTACAGGCATGAGCCACCGCGCCCGGCCTATTCATTTAGTTTTATAATCACGTGTGAACATATCTCATTCTCATCGTCAACTAATTATACCTTCACATATCCCACAGCGTCCTTGGAAATGAAAGTTTAAATGTTCAATAAATGCTTTGTAAATGAAAGAATAAGAAAAAAGAATTGGTAAATGTACATGCACATTAACTTCTTCTATTTACCTAAGATGTCTGGTATACTTCTTATTTAGTAGTCTCTTAAACATTTTAGTGCCTCAGAAATTCTGACACTAATACTGCCTAAGAGACTGCCTCTGTGAACTGAAAATGTAATTTATAAGAACATGTAATGGAATTCCTCTACTTGAGCAAATTTAGGTGTCCTGTGAGTAGAAATTGCCTTGAATATAGAATATGTCTTTTAAAAGAGGAATATAAGGAATATAATTTTATACAATCACTTTTTAGTGATATAGAACATCTTTCAAGATAGCTCTAAAACACTCAAATCAAAAAGTGGGAGGTATTTAGAAGACATACCAAAACCCTTACATGATAGTTGGTGGGGGAGAGCCTGTCACTTGACAATCTAGCTCCAGTAAGTTATTAACCATCACGATGAAGTACGATGTTTCATCTCCTCCTTCTATGGCTGGTGGCACTAGAAAAAAACAGGGATGTAACAATCAAAGAAATGTATACAAGAAAAAAACACACAAGTACATCAAGCAATGCTAAGGAGTAGTTTAGAAGGTTGATAAGTATTACAGTAGTTTGATACATGAAGGGAACTTGAAATACATTTTATAATAAACACTTGCCGGGGTTAATAAATGTTCTTCTGACATATCGAGGCTATTTCTCTATCTAGCACTAGGGTGCTGCTGATGCCATGTGAATATAAAGTTGATTCATATTATATATTGCTTATTTTCATAAGAACAAGAGAAGGAAACCCCGCAAATTGGGCCATCTATTCAAAAGCCTTCAATTTATATATAAAGATACAGAGACTCAAGGTTGCAAGGTGACGTCCCAAGGTCCAGAGACTAAGTTTCCCGTTGTCCGGTGCAGTGCGCATGACAAGACCATGTTGTTGCTCACGTCAATCAGACAGATGTCACAGATGTAAGAACGGATCTATGCGCTTGCAAATACTAAGTACACTTATCAAAATCAGTGGAAGATTTGTGTGAAATTCCAATTCCTTGGACCTCAGTAATAAATCCATCTCTTGGTAATATGCAGTCCAGAGTTGAACAGATAATTATAACTTTTTTTAGATTGTTTGATTATTGCACCAACAACAACAAAAAAAAAAGTATTCAATAAACTAATCAGGTTTTGCGATGAATCTGAGAACCCAGGTAGTGGCATATTTATTTACCCAAGACATCAACTTCATATTTGATTTCCTTTTCTCCTGCCACACTGGTAGCCACACATATATACTGCCCCCGATCTACTTCTTGGGCACTCATAATCTCGAGTTTCTTCCCACCAGCTTCTATGCGGATGTTGTCACTGGTCATCACAGGTACACTGTCTTTCAACCAGGTGAGATTTGGAGGCGGGTTGCCGGCAGCTTTGCACTCCAGTGTCAGTGAATGGTTAATAACTACTTGCTTATTCAAAGGTGTGGCCAAGTCATCTTCAATCATTGGGGGAACTAGGGAGAAACAGAGTAATATTTCAGGCAGTTCTTTGTGTGGTCACAAGATATATCCTAATGAAACAAAGGGGAGATTTTTTTTTTCTCATAAAGTTTGGCCATAGGAGCTGCCTACATGCTGTTCTCTCTCTACGCTGCTGAGGAAAAAATTTCTTAGTTCAGCTGATCTGCAACTATTCTAATTATTCTAGAATACTCTGAACCGTCTGACTCATAAAGGATAAGTAGTGGAGAAGGATCTTAGTCCTAACAACTACTTTACCTTCCCCATAAGAAACAAATAGCCTAAATGTTCCAAGTACTATGGACAAAGGTTGGTCAAATGAATGAACTGCTTCTTGCTGACCTTTGCTTTTGTAAATATTTTTCCAAATCATGAAACAAATTCTTCCAATTCCTATCCATGCATATTGAAAAAGGCCACAAAAGCTTTATTGGTGAACAAACTGAATATGAGAAAGCATAGGTAGAAAAGCATATAATTAAAGCATATATTTTTCCTTACCATAGACTTCCACATGGAATGACTTTTCAGCAGTCCCAGCAACATTGGTTACATGACACGTGTATGTTGCTGAATCAGAGACTTGTGCTCGAGGAATATGAAGAAATTGCCCTTTATCAGTATA